TATAAAAGTACCAAGAATGTACACGTTAGCATGATCGGGCCTATCAGAGGTATCCTTAGCCTCATTATTTTCACTAGAGGTAAGCTCCATTGTGTATCATTTATTTATTTATTTACTTTTTTTTGTGGTTTAATTCAGTGTACATAGACTTATTCCATCCATCATTACGCACATGTATACATATGTACCTCTCTGTCTACAGGCATGCTTATTTACCTAGAAGTTATGATACACACTGACATTCCCATGGGCTCATTAGTCAATGTCTGCCACAGAACCTGTAGAAAATTGCTTCACCTCCTTTATAAGACTTGACTTGTGATGACTTTTGCTCTCCCACCCCCAAGTTTACTCTGGTAACTCTTTATAAAGCTAGCAACCAAAGAGCGAGAAAGTAATTCATCAGAGATCATGGTTGGATTAATCATATTTTTTTTCTGCTCATTTGTTTTCACTGTGTGTTTAGCTCAAAATGTTGCCCAAACTTCTATTGAGGCAGTGTAGACACCCCATTTTTGACCGTCCTCAAGACTTGGACGTCACCGCTTGGAACACTCGGTGATTATCCATGTTTGTGTTCGTTTGGAGTTCCCGGAGGTCTCGGCTCGCGTACCTTGCCTCAGGATCTACGAACTTGCACTGTTTAGTGTATGGTTTCACACCAAACACTTGTGTTTTGCCTTTGAGAGGCAGGGTAGGGCTTGTAGACCATCCCCACCCACCACCGGCAGTGGCTAGAGGCCACCGGCTGGTTTTTGCTGCCACCGGCAATTTATATTGCCGGCCGGCACTATTTGTTGCCGGTCAGCACTTTTTAGTGCCGGCCGGCACTCTTTTTGGCCAAGATGGCATTTTTGGCCGGCCGATTACTGTGCATCTGCTTTTGTAGATATTTTAAGACAGCTGTCTTGCTTTTGCTCCCCTCCATACACGTGTATGGAGGGATCTCCCTCTTATGAAGCTTGTCTTGTAAGCTTTACAAGACAAGAAGTGCCATATAGAGAGAGGTTGGTCTCTTGGCTTGAGAGGTTAGAGACTTAAGATATTTTGAGAGCTTAGACAGCCATTGTTAGGGTTTGAGTTCTAGGGTTAGGGTTAGATACACTTTCTATCTCTATTTCTCCCTCTTGTGTGTGTTTTAGTGCACTTGTGTCTTAAGTTGGGTTGAAAAACATGAGTTATGATTCTTTTAATTTGTTAAATTTGGGTTCAATTTA